TCAGCTATGTAAACAGGAAGTCACTGCAGTTTATAAAGACACAATCTGATTATGCTAAGCTAACTGATTATTAATCTTATCAAATGTATTAGCATAATGATTGCTCATTTATTGTGTCATTGTAGTGAAATGTAAGCATATTGATCAATATTAAACAGAATTGATCAACCTGATATTAGCATGCTAACGTTAGCTACAGCGGCTGTAAATATTTATAACAACAGCTGTTAGCACGAGGCTAAGCTAGTGCTAATTGGTGCTCTGACATTGATCTCTCTCTGACATTGATCGCTCTCTCTGACATTGATCGCTCTCTCTGACATTGATCGCTCTCTCTCTGACATTGATCGCTCTCTGACATTGATCGCTCTCTCTGACATCGATCGCTCTCTCTGACATCGATCGCTCTCTGACATTGATCGGCTCTCTCTCTGACATTGATCTCTCTCTGACATTGATCGCTCTCTGACATTGATCGCTCTCTCTGACATTGATCGCTCTCTCTGACATTGATCTCTCTCTCTGACATTGATCGCTCTCTCTGACATTGATCGCTCTCTCTGACATTGATCGCTCTCTGACATTGATCTCTCTCTCTGACATTGATCGCTCTCTGACATTGATCGCTCTCTCTCTGACATTGATCTCTCTCTGACATTGATCTCTCTCTCTGACATTGATCACTCTCTCTGACATTGATCACTCTCTGACATTGATCGCTCTCTCTGACATTGATCGGCTCTCTCTGACATTGATCGGCTCTCTCTGACATTGATCGCTCTCTCTGACATTGATCGGCTCTCTCTGACATTGATCTCTCTCTCTGACATTGATCACTCTCTGACATTGATCGCTCTCTCTGACATTGATCGGCTCTCTCTGACATTGATCGCTCTCTCTGACATTGATCGCTCTCTCTGACATTGATCGCTCTCTCTGACATTGATCTCTCTCTCTGACATTGATCGCTCTCTCTCTGACATTGATCGCTCTCTCTCTGACATTGATCGCTCTCTCTGACATTGATCGCTCTCTCTCTGACATTGATCGCTCTCTCTCTGACATTGATCGCTCTCTCTGACATTGATCGCTCTCTCTGACATTGATCGCTCTCTCTGACATTGATCGCTCTCTCTGACATTGATCGCTCTCTCTGACATTGATCGCTCTCTGACATTGATCGCTCTCTGACATTGATCACTCTCTCTGACATTGATCGCTCTCTGACATTGATCGCTCTCTCTCTGACATTGATCGCTCTCTCTGACATCGATCGCTCTCTGACATTGATCGCTCTCTCTGACATTGATCGGCTCTCTCTGACATTGATCACTCTCTCTGACATTGATCACTCTCTGACATTGATCGCTCTCTCTGACATTGATCGCTCTCTCTGACATTGATCTCTCTCTCTGACATTGATCGCTCTCTCTGACATTGATCGCTCTCTCTGACATTGATCGGCTCTCTCTCTGACATTGATCGCTCTCTCTGACATTGATCGCTCTCTCTCTGACATTGATCGCTCTCTCTCTGACATTGATCGCTCTCTCTGACATTGATCGCTCTCTGACATTGATCACTCTCTGACATTGATCACTCTCTCTGACATTGATCGGCTCTCTCTGACATTGATCGCTCTCTCTGACATTGATCGCTCTCTCTGACATTGATCGCTCTCTCTCTGACATTGATCGGCTCTCTCTGACATTGATCGCTCTCTCTGACATTGATCGCTCTCTGACATTGATCGCTCTCTGACATTGATCACTCTCTCTGACATTGATCGCTCTCTGACATTGATCACTCTCTGACATTGATCACTCTCTCTGACATTGATCGGCTCTCTCTGACATTGATCACTCTCTGACATTGATCGCTCTCTCTGACATTGATCGGCTCTCTCTGACATTGATCACTCTCTGACATTGATCTCTCTCTGACATTGATCGCTCTCTCTGACATTGATCGCTCTCTCTGACATTGATCGCTCTCTCTGACATTGATCGCTCTCTCTGACATTGATCGGCTCTATCTCTGACATTGATCTCTCTCTCTGACATTGATCGCTCTCTCTGACATTGATCGCTCTCTCTGACATTGATCGGCTCTCTCTGACATTGATCGCTCTCTCTCTGACATTGATCGGCTCTCTCTGACATTGATCGCTGTCTCTGACCGGGTCGGCCTGTTTCATGTGTTTCAGGCGTTTATCTGCCGCTTTGTGCTCCGTAGCTTTTTTATGTCTTTGAAATGTGAGATCAGTTTCTGTGCATGTCGTCCCCTCCCTCCATTCATCCTCCATTCATCCTCCATTCATCCTCCATTCACCCTCCATTCATCCTCCATTCATCCTCCAGTCACCCTCCATTCATCCTCCATTCATCCTCCATTCACCCTCCATTCACCCTCCATTCATCCTCCATTCATCCTCCATTCACCCTCCATTCATCCTCCATTCATCCTCCATTCACCCTCCATTCATCCCGTTGCAGCAACAAAACACACAGCCGGAGCATCGGAGCAGCTTAAAGGGGAATTCCAGATGAAAACTAACATCAAGCTGCTGCTGTCAAAGATTTAAACTCCCTCTGCATCTCTCCTTTCATCTCTGTCACCTTCTTCCTCGGTCTCACTTTGTCTCTGAATCCTGGAACAGTTCAGCAGAAACACAGCGAGGTTTAATTATCACTTAAAGTTTGAGTAAGTTTGAGCTTCCTGCTGCTGTTTTTACAATCTGGTCAAAAGATTCAGTGTAAAATGAACAAATTAACTTTTTTTAAAGACTTTTTGTCTGATATCCTCAAGATATTTATATAATATCAGGACACTCACATCAAGGTTTTAACCCTTTATTGCAACAATAATACACATTAAATACATAAATGTGTTTTCACTGTTACAGCAATGATCAAGTTTTTCCTTGCCCTTGTCTCCAAGGTCTTGCTCATGGTGGTACTGTTGGGTCTCTGTAAATAATGTTATAAAGAGTTCGGTCTAGACCTGCTCTATTTGAAAAGTGTCCTGAGATAACTTCTGTTATGAATTGGCGCTATACAGATAAAACTGAACTGAACTAAATCACCAACTTCTCACATTTACCTTCATAAATGAGCTTCAGTGTGGAAACCACTGATGTTTACTCTCACTGGAAACACGACACCATTATTACAGGAACCCGCCAAGAGCTGCGACCTGTAACCCGACACACCTTCGGTTTTATTTTTAGACCGCTGATAGAGGAATGAAACGGCCCCTGAGTTGATAATGTGATAAAAATAACCTCTGTAGAGTTAATCTGTTAGTGATCGCTGATCTGAGAGCAGATCATTTACATCGGAGATCAATATCCAGCTGACCGCAGCACACACTCATCCATCAGTCAGAGAAAACATCCCGTTCAGATAAAACAGCTGCAGTGATTCAGTACTTGACTGCAGGAAGTTTGTGTGAAGAGATTTGAATGAATTTTGAGCAGATTATTTCCTGAATATTGATCAGTAATGAGTTTTCCTGATATTTTTAGTAACTTGTCATACAATCCTCTGTAATACTGTCTGTATTATATATTTTTTCACAATACAAATAAATATTTGGCGCTTTAAATTTAAACTTTTGTATTAACTGATGAGTTTTACTTCCTCCATGAATCTCACAATGCAGCGACTGTGTGTTTCTTCCTCAGACCTGCTGCCTCTGGACCTGCTGGCCAGAGCCTTGCCAAGTCCACGACAAGCCCCGCCCACACAGGTAGGACACCTGGAGGGAGGGAGGGAGGGAGGAGGAGAATGTTGAAAAAGATGGTAGATAAACCAATAATCAATCAAATGTCCAACCAGGTGCAGTTGGTTCAGTCCAGTGGGTCCAGAGGGCTCCGATTGGCCAGCGCCGTGGCAACAGCGCTGAGTTTCCCCGCCTCCCAAATCTTCAGCAACTGTGACTTTTTCCCTGCTGAGTTCTCATTGGTCGCCACCTTCAAGATCCCGAGACTGAGACAGAAGGTGAGTAAGCAGGACCGAAGAGAACCTGGTCTGGTTCTGATCCGGTCTGACCTGTCGTTCCTCGCTCTGTTTCCAGAGGAACGAGTACATCTTCTCCGTGGTGGAGGATGGATCTGATCTGCTGTTGCTGGGGTTACGTGTCTCAGAGAACCGCCTCCACCTCCTGGTCACGGCCCCCGGCGTCGGTGGGCGGATCCGGCTGAGCTTTAAGGACGTTGGACTGGATGATAACCGCTGGCACACACTGGTGCTGGCCGTCACCGGACCGCACGCCACCCTAACCATCGACTGCGGACTCCCTCTGGAGCTGTGAGTCACCTTCAGTCCGGTTCAGACCATCACAGCCTGGTTCAGGTCAGTCTGGTTCCGTCTACCGTTGCATTAACTGGCTTCCTGTCTCTCAGTAAACAGGTCCAGTCCTTCCCCAGCACTCTGAGCACCAGGGGGTCCAGGTTCTTCATCGGCAGCAGGAGGAGGTCGAGGGGACGCTTCTCTGTGAGTCTGTAGTCCGGATCAGGATCAGAAGCATCCAGAAGCTTCAAGGTGGTTCTGATTGTTCTGTCTGTGCTCAGGGTTTACTGCGTCAGCTGGTTCTACTTCCTGGTTCAGACGCCACGCCCAGACTGTGTCCAACCCGTGACCCCAGCTTGGCCGAGCTGTCCGTCCCCCAGGTCCTGAAGTCCATCCCTCTGCAGCCGGACCACCATGGACCAGTTTACCCGTACGGTGAGTGAACCAGCAGGAGGCCAGAATCAATAAATCCGTTAATAAAAGATACTAATAACTAATAATTACTAACAGCAGAGTTAGAGACCGGTACCGGTTACAGATCCAGTCAGGGTCGGACCAGCCGCTGTGTAACCTGAGAGGTAAAACTCAGGGCTATAAAAGTGTTCATCAGGAAACTCGAGCTCACAGAAGTCTCTCTGAAGTAGTTCTGTATTAAAATGTTTTATTTTGGTATCTGGACACGTTACACTGTCACATTATGTTCAGCTGTCCAAATACTTTTGGCCACACGGATTCAAACCAGTAGATCAGATTCACATCAGGGCACGCCGACCTTTAACCTTTCAGTGCTGGTGGTTAGGGTTGTGATGGTATCAGAGCTTCAGTAACCTGAGCTTTAAAATGACTGACAGCAGGGAAGAGCTGCTTCCTGTGTGTGTGTGTGTGTGTGTGTGTGTGTGAGTGTGAGGTGTGTGTGTGTGTGTGTGTGTGTGTGTGTGTGTGAGTGAGTGTGAGTGTGTGTGTGTGTGTGTGTGTGTGTGTGTGTGTGTGTGTGTGTGATTGACAGCCCGTTACAGCTGTTGGTTTTAGGTTTCACTGTGTGTGTGTGTGTGTGTGTGTGTGTGCTTCGGGGTCTGTCCCACTGTTTGATGTGTGTTTCCATGACAACAGTGTTAGACTGGTGCTGAGGTGATGGACAGGTATCCACTACCAGCTTTAAAAACATGGTACAGGTGTGTTCGATGAAGACTTTTATTTTGGATATTTAAAAAAGTGTTTAGCCTAGCTTAGCACAAAGACTGGAAGCAGGGGGAAACTGCTAGCGGTGGTGGTCTACATTTACCAGAACACCAAACTGTTTGATACAGCTTTGAAGATTAGCACAGAAACAACAGCAGGAGGAAACAATCTTACTAATGAATCCACAATAATCACAAAGTCACTGCCAACCATGCTATCATTAAAACCTTATTGTTCTTATTGGCGATCAGCTTGAGGAAGCTTTAGCTCCAGAGCTAACATCCCAAAAGCTTTCAACAACTGAAGGAGTTGTTCTAAAACGTGGAGCCTGCTAGCTGATGTTAGCATACCTTCCCCACTGTTGTTGTTAGTGACAAACGAGGGTTTCCTGAGTACAGTGGAGGTGAAGTGTGTGAGCAGCCTGAGGCTCAGAGACTTAATGAACTGTCTCTGATGGATATCGACTCTTTATGACTCAGAGTTTATATAAAGCTGTTTGATTTATGTACCTGCCTACGGCTGAGTGCACTGCGTAGTCACTACACTTCATTTGACTTCAGCTTCCGAACTCTTATGAATGAAGTCTGAAAGGAAAACGTGTCACATATTTTTATGAGCTGCGAGTCTTTAAATCAGTTTTTACCATCTCAGAACATTTTTTAAAGTACGGCAAATTTAAATCTTCTGACAAATTATTTGATGTAGCAGAAAATAAGTTTTTCACGTTCACTGAATTAATCCTGGAGGTCGTAAGGTGGTCGCAGAAGCTAAGCTCAAGCTAACAGGTCCCAGGTCAACAGATGCTGTTTGAGAATCTCGCTTTAAGTTTTAATCCGGTGATAGCTGTCACTGCTAACAGGAGCTGCTAATAGCTAATTCTGCATACTTGTAATTGTGGTGCCAGTTGGACGGACTGTGTTGAGTTCAGTGTTTCAGTGTTGAAGTACAGTTGTGTATCTTTGGGGTAAATCAGTGGTTGGATTATCTGTCTGTTACCACGCGGCTGTCCTCCCCCTTCGGGTGATGTTGACTGACGTGTAATGATATGAGAGTCATCCTCCGTCTGCCGGCTCATAATGAGGACGTGTGTTTGAAGGAGTGACGAAAACCTTCATCACCCTCGCTTCATTAACAGTGAGCTGTCAGTTCCCCCCCGACCACACAGTCAGATACAGTTACTGTTTAAATTCAGAGGAAGAAATGATAAGTAACAAGTGTTTGCAGCTCTGTCACTGAGGGATTGTTCCTACAGAAAAGGGACTTTCCTCTGCAGGTAATGAAGCATCACTCAGCCTCCACACAGCGCGACCTGTCTGCTGTAAACTGTCGACTCCACGACGTCTCTGAGGGAAACGTTCGTCACAACACAGTCCAACCTTTTTACAAAGAGTTCTGATTCTTTCTTTCCTTTTAAAAGCCTGTATTTTTTAAGCTTTAGTTAAAAAAGATCAACTATAGTCTGTAGTTGGGGAATGAGTTACACGTTTTCAACAGCCGTAATACAATTTGACATTAGAGGTTGCTAGCTTATGTTAGCATAACTTGCTCCCATTGTCGATAATGACATCACTATTATTGATTGGCGGCCCCACCAGGATGTCGTAGACGTTTGCACAATTATTGTTGCTCAAAATGACAGATTTGCTGTGGAGTTCTGTACCAAATGCAGAGAGATAAAGCTAATATCTAATATCTGGTCTTGATATCATGCTAACATCAGCTTTTCTGAAGACATTGGTGGTTTTGTTGTGTTTTAGAGGCGGAGGCCAGAGTGACTCTGGGAAATCCTCCTCAGTGTTCGGGACCAGAACAGGGTCAGCTGTGGTTCAACGCTCAGAGGAAAGGCCTGTTCATCTGTGACGGATTCACATGGAGGACGCTGCTGCAGAGTGAGTGAGACACTGAAGACACAGCGGAGAACATTAAAAGTCACTGTGGAATAAAAAAATCACCATATCTATAGAAAAAGGTGTAATCTTATGAGAATAAAGTAGCAGCTTCATGAGAAAGGTCATTATTGTGAGTTTTATGAGAATAATAAAGTTGTAATAGCATGAAAAAAGTCAGATTTCTATAAGTCAATATATTACAAGAATAAAGATTTATTTAACAATTTAGCAGGAAACCTGGCTATTATGGGAAGTCAGAATTCAAGATGTTTTGGGAGGAGAAAAGTTATTATATATATAACTTATATAAAGTTGTAGTTAAATAAAAAGAGTCACATGGCTATCTATACTTCCTCAAAGGACGCTGATTGGTCCGGTTCCACTGTAATTTGGCCTCCAGCTGTTGTGATCTGTTGATTCCAGCTGCCTCTTGAGGTTAACGCCCCGAAGCACCGAGGCACCGAAGCAAATTCCTTCAATATGACAAGCTACCTGGCAATAAACCAGTTTGTGATAATGACGTATCTCTCTCTGTCTCTGTCTCTCTTGTACTGTCTCGTGCGTCCTCTGCAGATAAGGAGCGTTTGGATTACGTGGAGGACTACCAGGATCTGTACACCAGCTCGGAAACCTTCGACGTTGAGGTCTTCTCCATCCCGTCTGAGGGCCTGTTCATGGCTGCAGCCAACAGGTACCGACAACAGATCCCATGTAAGAACCTAACCTGATCCTTTGCCCATGCGTGTCCATGGTAACCATCCTGTCTCCTCCCGCAGGGACTCTCGGCCCGGTTCGGGTATCTATAAATGGAGGAATGGGTCATTCCAGCTGTACCAGAACATCAGCACTCAGGAGGCTCGAGCCTGGAAACACTTCACCATCGACGACAAGGTGAGAGCTGCTTTAGCTTAAAACTGGACCATATCATGAAACTAGTGATTAAAAATATAAAACCATGTTGCTGTAAAACGTTTGTTCTTCAGATGTCGATTTACTGTTTGACCTTTCACTCTAATTTACATGCTAAATGCTTTATTTTATGTTGCTATCAGAAGGAATTGATGCAGGATTAATGTCAGAAATCAACCATCTACATGTCCAGATGTTTGCTAACAGGAACTGTTCATGTTATCTGATGTTTCATCAGCTTGTCTAAAGCTGAACCCAGACAGGTAAGAGAGCAGGTATCTGTGCTAATGCTAATGCTGGTGAGTTTGCATATTTACAATAAGGCTTTAATATTTGTTTGTGGTCTGTGTCATTCCCTTCAATCAGTTTAATACAAATTTACTGACTGGACTGAATGGACAGTGTCAACAGCAATCTTCCTCTAGCTGTCAGCTGTGTTTGACCTCTGCCCTGTGGTTGACTTTGTGAATAGGAGCGGTGTGTGCACTCAGAGAGAGGAGTGTCTTTGAAAGGTCAAACAGAAACCAGAACAAAAAGCTGTTTGAACTCTTTCTGTACTGTGAATGTGTTTCATATGTGCCGACACACACGGACAGGTGTTAACATAAAGCTCTGCAGGTATTCAGAGTGTAGAGAGGAAGGACGGTTACAGTGCTGGAAGAAGTATTCAGATCCTGTGTCTTTTGTTTTGGCCATGCAGTGTCTGGTCTGTGACTTTATCTGTATTGCGATGTGTTAAAGTCGTTATATAATTGTTTTGTTTTTTTTCCATCAGATTTTCCTGGTGGTGGCGAACTCCAAGGAGACGGAGACTGAGCTGTCGGTCATCTACCGGTGGAATCAGCGGCGGCGACGTTTCCTCCGTCACCAGACACTGGAGACTCACTCCGCTCTAGACTGGGAGGCCTTTCAAATCCACAACGACAGCTTCCTGGTGGTGGCCAATCACAGACGAGGTAAAGCTGACAGAGAGTCACATGTTTTAAACGTACTCATCCCAGGTCGTCAAATACTGACTGCTGCTGCTTTGTCACACCTGGTTTTTATTTTATTTAACCAGATAACTCAGTTAACCCTTTAAGCGCCAAAGTCGCAAAATTGCGACAGGACGCGGTACTGAATCAAACAGCTGTTTTCTCCTAATAGAGTGTTATATCTCATTCATAGTCCCCTCCACTAGTTGGCAGACCTCCCGTACTTAGACCTTAGCTCAGAAAAACGTCATGTTTCAATGCAAAATGTTCGAGGAAGTCCCATCCAAACTGTTGGGTGAGAAACCGGAAATAGTGCGCCACGGCGCTATTTATGCTGAAGCGGTATTGCTGGATTTAGGAGTTATTGAGACGAAATAAACAAAAATGGCAAGTAAAAAGTTGACGCTTAGGGAAGTGATGGGTCTCCTATTCGCTGACTCTGATTCTGAAGGGGAAAATGTACATTTGGGAGATGACGGCCGCTCGATTAGTGAGCGTTATAGTCACGGTGCGTCTTTGCACCGGCGCTGTCGGGCAAAGCGAGGAAAACACACAAGCACAAACACACGACCCTTTGCCCAACATAGGTAGGAGTACTACACGAACTCGTAGTATCAGTAAGGGAGCAAATGGATGTGGTAGAAGTAGCAGTGTCTGTCCATTTGTTAGGCTATGTGGTGGGGCCTCAATATTGTTAATATTGTCTCTGTACTGTGCCTTGCATTGAGAGGTTCCACACTCTACAAATACTACAAGCTTTTATCTGGATAGATGGGCACAGATTAGGCCTCTGCAGCTAAAAGACGCCTACTGTTATTATTATTATCATATAATAATAATAATAATAATAATAATAATGAAGAGAATAAAAAAGAAAAGAAAAAGTGTCCTCCAATAGGGGTGGTGGTGGTGGCTAAAAAATCATAAAAAACGCCTACTGTTTACATGAGTTTTGTGGTAGTAATAGTTCTAGTTTACGACTGTTGGCTTACAATTTACTTTTACCTGTTCATTTGATATGTGGACAACATAACAAATAGATGGAGGGGGGTGAATCTGGTGAAATAAGTTCGACTCTCTTTCAAAATATCGGGTATTAAATGGAAATTATATAATCCAATATGGCCGTCGCCATATGACATCATAATATGCAAATTAGATGGGGAAATTTACTCCCTAGATAAACTTTAGGTCATTCTCAATATTCGTCTCATTTACACTTTGTCTCTATCTTAAACCACTTTCAAGCCAGAGCCTTCTGAAATTTAGACGTCAAAATCTAGTATTTTTAAAAATAAAACCCGGCGCCTAAAGGGTTAAGAACCAATTTACCAGCTTCTCACTAAGACCGGATGTAAAGCTTATGTCATTTTCTCAAAGACATTACTTTGTCTCGCTCAGAAGTCTTTTTCTGTACATCATTTAATGAAAGAAGGCTATAATTATGATTATTTCTCTCTAAGTCAACTTCTTCTTCTGTTTCTGTTCTAGTGTTCGCTCTAAAGCTCTCATTGTCTGTGAAATTGCCCTTTTCCTTTTCTTTGAACTTTGCTGCAGACTACAAACAATTAGCTACAAGACAGCAGAAGATTGTTAACGATGCCCCGCGCTAACCCAATCACAAAATAAAATACTGTGTGTAGAGTCCAGATTAAAGTTCACACTACACATTGAAGACGGGGTTGACGGAGATCCTCAAGGCTCCGTTCTTGGTCTACTACAACAAAATATCTACCTTTATGCAGACGACACTGACTTATATAATGATACCACCAGGAGAGTAAGTGCTCTCAACAAATCAGTAGTTGAATGTACCAAAACTTCCTCCAGTTAAACGAAGATTAAAGTTCCAGAAACGCTGATAAACGTCTCTGTGGTGAGTTTATTTTGTGTGTTTAGAGGCTGAAACTGTTTGAGTTGCTTCCTGACTAGATTTTATCTCCTCGTCTGTTTGTCCGTCTGTCTGTTCTGTCCTCCAGTGAAATAACTGAGGTTTATTGAACCATTAACATCAAACACACCTACACCTGCTGCGTGTGTGTGGAGATAAAACACACTCATTGATCTGAGCTGAAAAGAAGGAAAGATTGTTTATGATCTGACCATCTGAAAGAAAAAGATATAAAGAAAAAAAGAAAGCTGATGCAGGTGTACTGTGGTTAGATCACACACACACACACACACACACACACACACACACATTTAAAGGACACCTCAAAGGCCATTATCCGGCTTACACCAGGGTCACCTTCTATCATAATTATACATTTAAAAGCATTTTTCAAGTTTTTTATACAAGCCATAACTTTCCATGGTGCAATGGAAACGTTGCTCACTGCTCCAGTAGGTTTGTCCTATACCTTAGATATGCCTTGGCAACTGGAGATATGTGTAGTTCCAACTTTTTTTACATATATATATATAGATATAGATATAGATACTCTTGCTCAACTGCACTGTTTTCTGGTTTAATATTTTAATATATTTTTCAAATAATTTCAATAATATTGGAATAAAAACAATGTACAGTGATATGGACATGATTAATGTCCTTATGTGTCCTCAGACTCCAACCACAACATCCACAGTGTGATCTACTTGTGGAACCCAAACACAAAGGTAATGCTACAGAGGACAAATGTCCAACTCACTGTCCTCTTACATTCTGTCTTCTGCTCTTCTGTCCCTTTCCATCCTATTCTGTCCTAATCTTTACATTCTGTCCCACCATGTTCCATCTGTCATATCCTTTCTCCTCCCGTCCTCTCCTTTTCCTTTTCCTGTCCTATATACTCTCTGATTCATCCTCTGCTGTCTCTTTCGGTCCTGTGATGTCCTCCTCTCTCCTGTCATGTTGTATTCTGTCCTTCCTCGTCCTCTCTGGTCTTTTTACATCCAGTCTCATCCTTGTTGAACCCATCCTCTGACTTCAGTCTTTTCCTATGTCTCATGTTGTCCTGTATCCTGTCCTCATTGTGTCCTCTGTCTCCCGTCCCTCTAGCTGTTTGAGGTTAACCAGACTCTGTCCACGTCCGGAGCGTATGACTGGGAGTTCTTCTCCATCGGACCGTATCACTTCCTGGTTGTTGCCAACACCTTTGACGGTCAGATGACCACCATCAGCTCCACCGTCTACGTCTGGTTGAACGGCTGCTTCCAGACCTTCCAGAGCATCCCGGTCAGTGTCCGCTGTCTTTGTATCTCAGCAGGATCTGGTTCCATCTGACCAGCTGGTTGAGGTGTTAGTGGGTTATTTTGGGTGTTTTTCAGCGATATTTAGAGGTTTTCTAAATCAGGGCTGCCAGCAGGTAAAGGACCCCTCGTATCTGCACCGCTGCTTTAATCTTGATCGACATGAGATGAACAGACATCATATTCAGCCAATCAGTTTACACGTGGTTGCGGTACGTATTTATAGAGCCGTGAGGTGAGGTCACTGGATGTCAATCTTATCCAACAACAATAACATGAAACACGTACAAGAATCAATGTGCAGACAGGAAAAATGATTCGCCTTCATGAACAGGAACAAAATATTATAACTTGTAAAGGGAACAAAGAGGACTCTTAAAACCTAAGCCTTGCTGTATACGCTGACTGACCGCTAGCTAACGTAGCATTAGCTTACCTGTTCCCTGAAAGCTGTAACATTAACCTCTGTAACTTCGTCAGCTATCTTCTGTGGTTCCCATCACAAAGTGAATCCAGCCAGCGGTGGAAACCAGCTCCAATAAAACTTCTAAAGGCCTCGTGTATCAGGATATCATTAACCATCAATCAAAGAGAGTGATCGCTCTCTTCGTCTAATAGCATCATCAGACTCTTCATAATCGATCAATCTGGAAAACATATGGACAACAACTTTCTAATAACGGATAACAACAATATAACAGGATTTAGCAGCTAGTGTATTTGTATTTGAGTGTTTGACTAATTACTTTTAGAGTGTAAATTAAATTTTCCATTTGTCCGTGAAATCTCCTTCCTGCTCTCCAGAGGATGAACTCTCTCCTCTAGCGCCACCTTCAGGACACACTGTGTATCTCCTCTACAGCTCAGACTGTACACAGAGATAAAGAGCCTGGTCTCCTGTCTGATGTGTGACAGCAGCCAGACGTGATGAGGACGATTATCTCGGTAATCACAGTGAATCAGACGCAGCGTGACGACATCCAACCACAAATCACACACAGATAAAAATAACCTGCTGACTCACAGCTGACAGAGACTGAAGTTCATGGATCTGAACTGATGAGTCAGCCTGGATTAAAGGACACTTCTGGGTTTTATAGTTTCAGTCAGGAGAACATTTCAAATGTCACAAAACCTCCAGTTCAGTGAGAAACAGTGAGAAAGTCTTCATATGGAGGCACATACAGCGCTGCTTGGACATTTCTATTTTTATCATATGTCCATTATTTCTTTATTTAATCCGAACCAGTATTTTTTATATAACAGTTGTGTGCTTATCTACTCTATGTTTGTTTTTGAGGAAATTAACTGAAGTGAAAAGACTTTATTAAACTTTTGTAGGAGCAAAGTTAGTGAACCCTGAGCAGGTAAATACAATCAGCTGTCGGCTAAACTAACCAATGAGATGAGAAACTGATTGAAACAGATGAAACCAGGTCGGTTCAGTCTTAATGGATGTAGCTGCCTAGACTCCAGATCTGGCCAGCTTTCACACAGTCTGCCTCAGTGGAGTTCAGGAGATTAATTAGTGCTCGACGAGAAAGACTGAGCTGTTTGCTGCCTCTCCATCGTCTCTTCAATCAATCTGCAGGCGGACGTCCTGCAGGAATCAGACATGATGACAGACACACACATCAAAGTCACATTTATGAAAATCTGTTTCTGCTCAGTTCATCACACAAAACCTCCAATTAAAGCTCAGGACACCAGAGGAGTGTAATTAATGAGGCTGTGTGTGTGTGTGTGCGTGTGAGACTGTGTGTGTGTGTGTGTGTGTGTGTGTGTGTGTGTGGTGTGTGTGTGTGTGTGTGTGTGTGTGTGTGTTTGTGTGTGAGGGGGTTTCCAGCAGCAGACTGTTTGGACTCGTCCGTCAGGGCGGATCATCTGAAGACGTTTATTGGATTTTAAAACCACAAAAAACCTCCTGAACCTTTAATTCAACTTCTGACAGAATCACAGCCATTAAACTCTGTTTACTCCTGTAATGGATCCACAAATAGATCTCAGCCTCGCTCACAGCTGGACGCCAAGAATACAAACCCTGCTGGCATCCCCTGGAGGCTGAAAGAGTCATTACATCCAGAACCACAAACTAACTGTGTATAATATATATATAATAAACCTGGAAGCATCTAAAAGTGGTTTAAACTGAAAGAAAAAGGATTTTTAAAGAGTCCAAAAGTCCAATGTAAGCTTCATTTACATCTGTCAGAGTTTCTTAGAGTTATTATTCTTAACTTTGTTCTAATTTGAAGATACATCATGTAAAATCGTCATAAAAACCTAAAACACTGAAAAATAGGATTTTGTCAGGTCCTCACACTCTAAATCTACACAATGAAATATAATGAATCCTTTCCAAAATCATATTTATTGTATTATTTTGTGACTCTTATAATAAGAATAATAATAAATAATCAGTCTAACCCAGTTGGTGCTGTAAATGTAACGGAAACTTTTATCCTCTCTGCAGACGGTGGGAGCGACGGACTGGGAGGCGTTTCAGATCGACGGCAGGTTCTTTCTCGCCGTCGCCAACAGTCAGAAGTTTTCAGACCACGGTCCGAGTCTCTACAGCATCAACTCCACCGTGTACGAACTCAACACGCTCACACAGACCTTCATCCACTTCCAGGACATCCTCACACACAGGTGAGCGAGCCACTCACTGCACGAGGTACAGGTACACCTTAAACAATGGAGCGATGCTGTGGTTAACATGTTGTTGTTGTTGTTGTTGTTGTTGTGTTCAGCGCTGTGGACTGGGAGTTCTTCACCATCGGAGAGGAGAAGTTCTTGGTGGTGGCCAACTCTCACGATGGCAGCTCATATTCCCTGAACAGTGTCGTCTTCAGGTTTGTACTTCCTGTCCAAGGTTAGATAGAGTCAGTTGGAGTCCGTCAGAGTCAGTTAGAGTCTGTTGGAGTCCATTAGAGTCAGTTGGAATCCGACGATGTCTATCAAAATCTGTTGGAGTCTGTAGGATCTGATTGTGTATTTGAACTTTGTATCTCTATATGTGTTTTCAGGTGGCAGGGTTCTGAGGGCTTCGTTCAGGTCCATAGTCTGCTAACGTCGGGCTGCAGAGACTGGGAACACTTCAGCACAGACGAAGGATCCTTCCTCATCTACTCCAGCGCCACCTCCAGGCTCAGCAAGGTCTTCAAACTCAGGACCTACTGAATCTAACTCCGTCTGACAGCTCGAGCTTGAAATGCTCGGCAGGAAGTTTTTAAACCATAAAAACTGGACCATCATCGGCTCAGTGACGTCCTCAAACTGCAAGTTTTAGTTTTACATCCTGACGCCATTTACTCCAACAACTCCTTCACAACTGACTGAAGACTTCAGAGTTAAATCCTCAGACCTTTAACCTGTGGAGTCCTGAGTGAGCTGCATTCACTAGCACCTTTCTTAAACTGTTAAAAAGAAGACATTTTAGAGCAAAGCATTCTTTAGGATTGGATGGTATCATCACGTACGAAGGTGTGCCGGTACTTCCTTTCAGGTTTACAACTATTTAACCTTCTAAAGGTTTTGGTTTGTAGTCATGGGTCAACGTTTCTTGTTTTCAGCCGAAGAATCGTTGGAAGTCAGGCGAGCTGTGACCGTTGCCAGGCTGGGAGGTTTCTCACGTCATCACAAACATCAACACAAAGGTCCAAAAACCTGAGCAGGAAGCAGACACTGACATCGGGGTGGAGTGGGTCTCACTTTCAGCCCCGCAGTGAAACGATGCAGAATCACCCACCGCAGCAGGAAAAGGTCACCGGCTGCGATGACAACACACAACGGAAAAATCATTTACTTTATGAAACGATATACAGGAACTCTTCAGTTGGAAATGTCTTGTTGTGAAATTGAGACGGACGTTTTCATTCTGATGTTATTGACGAGCTCTCAACTGAATCCTTCCTGTTATCTGCTCTCTGCACAGCCACCAGACTCCACTGATAACAACAGTGAATTCACCTCCATCAGTCAGTTTGTGTTATTGTGTGGATCCAAAGTCAGTCTGGTGGCTGTGGAAAGAGCACAGATCAATATAAAGGCTTCAGTTGATTTATTGATGGATTTTATTCATTGATTATCAGACACGGGAAAAGAAACAAACAAAATCCAAAGGATGAAAATATTAGAGTGACACCAAAAACACATTTCACAAAACCTAAAATTCCTCCATCAAAACATTTTTAATTGTTTTGTTAGCAGTTAGCTGCTTTAGTCGCTAACTATAGCCGCTGTTAGCTGGTTAGCAGTGCAGCTAACTTATCTGACCTATTAGGTGACTCTGCCCCGACTGGGAGCTCAGAGCATCGGGGCAGTGTCGGTGTTTAACGTTGGACCGCCACACGGTCCCTGTCAGTTAGCAGCAGTTAGCAGTTAGCTCACAGCTACAAGTAAATCAGTGAACTTAGTAAATCTCTGAGAGTCGAGGCAGAGACGCTGCACGACATCTGAGGACAAAACAGAAAATATACTTTTTCCCTCTCTGAACAACAACTTCTGGATAAAAGTCTTACATAACATGCTAATTAGCTACATTAGCTTCCTCCAGTTTGGACTCTCAGGTGATCAACAGGTGAATTTATGAGTCAAAGTTAAACTATAAGAAGTTACTTTTCTTATTATCCTCTATCGGTACCGATCGCTGCGATCCCACTGAACCGATTTTATTCTGAAGGGATTTTAAACGCTGGTGTGAATGTGGCATTAGAGGGGTGTATTTTCAAAATAAGTGTACACTTTATTTTGAAAGTTTCTTTGCAGAGCAAAAGTGACTGAATCATTTTCACTGTTTTACTTTCAAGAATTATTTAAAGTTGGAAACTGGAAGAAATATAATAAGTTTTTATAAATGTAAATAATTAATAAGCTATAATAAGATATTAAGGGAGAATATATCGCTGAAACCAAAGAAAAGCTTTTTAAAAACCTTTTGTACTCGACTGATTCTGGTTAAAAATGAATATTAATATTACTGTATGTTCAGATTTGTGTTGTGAATTATGTTTAAAAAACTTCTCTGTTCTGTAATAATGTTGATGAGTCAGATATTGATTTAACAGGAAGTAGTTACAGACAATAATAACTATTAATAATGATATTTAAAATATTATTAAACAATAATTTATTGTTGTGTTTCGTTATAAATCTTAGACGACTAATATATTATTATCAATCTAATAATAATATTAAAGTTATTTGAAGCAGAATCTTTGTATTATCTGATGTTGTTTCACTCAAGGATTTATTTCCTGCTCCAGTTTGGTTTTATTTCCCTATAATGTCATCCATATTTATATATTTATACATCAATATATTGTGATAATTGCTGCTGAAGATATTAAAGATTTCACACAAATAAAATGAGCTTTTTTTAAATAACGTTTTAATGAATTATATTAAGTTCAGAATTATAGTTATTATTATTATAAGATGAAATCTGGCAGATGTGATCAGTTTTTGCTTCTTTCATTCTTTAATAAATAAGATTAATAACGTTGGCTCTATAACAGCTGTTTTATTAAATATAACAATTATTTGTTCAGGTGTTGAAAAAGTGAGAACAGGTCCAGTAAAAGTCTGCAGGTTCTGGATCAGGTTCAGACCCGAAGCAGGTGGAGGTGGACTGGTTCTGTGGGGGGTTGATGGGGATCAGGTGGAGGTGGACTGGTTCTGTGGGGGGTTAATGGGGATCAGGGTACAGGTGGACTGGTTCTGTGGGGGGTTAATGGGGGTCAGGTGGAGGTGGACTGGTTCTGTGGGGGGTTGATGGGGATCAGGTGGAGGTGGACTGGTTCTGTGGGGGGTTAATGGGGATCAGGGTACAGGTGGACTGGTTCTGTGGGGGGTTAATGGGGGTCAGGTGGAGGTGGACTGGTTCTGTGGGGGGTTAATGGGGGTCAGGTGGAGGTGGACTGGTTCTGTGGGGGGTTAATGGGGGTCAGGTGGAGGTGGACTGGGACCAGTGGGGGGTTAATGGGGGTCAGGTGGAGGTGGACTGGGACCAGTGGGAAGGTCTGAGGCCATCAGGGAGAAGTTTGGATATTTATTTATAGGTTTTATTAATAACGCCAGGATGAACACAATGAAAGGTCCCTGTACAGGATTCACTTCTTCCTTACTAACTAACTAACTTTATTTACTGGAGATCCCTTTCTTACTTTTAGAGTTATATTAAAGTAAAGTTGATAATGTCGATAAACTTTATTTGACTTTGAATACAAACAATATAAACTAAAAACATTTTAAAATGTAAGCCAGAATATACATTTTTATTTTTTAATGTATTTCTGATCTGAACACTTTTACTTTCTTTCTTTTTGTAGTTTATTTATTTATAATGAATCCAAACTGTCGGCAGGGGTCGCTGTTTGGATTTCAGAGACGTGTTTCCGGTCACATGACCGTTGTGGTTCCGGTGTGAGAGGTCAGGTGTCCGTGTTTGAAAATGCTAAAAACATTAGCCGCTGTTAGCTCGGGTTAGCCGCCGTTAGCTCGGGTCAGCTCGGGTCAGCTCGGGTTAGCTCGGGTCAGCTCGGGTCAGTAGTTGAGAGTTTAAATGTTTTAGTGAGAGGAGCTCGCGCAGCAGCGTCACGCGCAGCAGGTACTGACGTCATGTCTTTATTCACCGTTAGTCTTCACGCTGTTAGCATGCTAACTGTCAGCATGCTAACTGTCAGTTATTGTCCGTTAATGTTCATATAATAATATCATATTATAATGTTCACTCTGACAGGAAGAACTGAGGCGGGTTCAACCGGTTCCGATCGGTTCTCACCGGGTTCTGGACCCGTTTGAGGTCTGTTGGTGGTTCTGAGGTCAGCTAACAGCTAACAGCTAACAGCTAACAGCTAGCTCTCTGCTGTCTGCAGGTTAATAACAGGATTAACACAATCTGCTTAAATACAATAACTTTATAAATAACACTGTTAATGTTAATATAAATACATTATAACACTGTTAATGTTAATATAAATACATTATAACACTATTAATGTTAATATAAATACATTATAACACTGTTAATGTTAATATAAATACATTATAACACTGTTAATGTTAATATAAATACATTATAACACTGTTAATGTTAATATAAATACATTATAACACTGTTAATGTTAATATAAATACATTATAACACTGTTAATGTTAATATAAATACATTATAACACTGTTAATGTTAATATAAATACATTATAACACTGTTAATGTTAATATAAATACATTATAACACTATTAATGTTAATATAAATACATTATAACACTGTTAATGTTAATATAAATACATTATAACACTGTTAATGTTAATATAAATACATTATAACACTATTAATGTTAATATAAATACATTATAACACTATTAATGTTAATATAAATACATTATAACACTATTAATGTTAATATAAATACATTATAACACTGTTAATGTTAATATAAATACATTATAACACTGTTAATGTTAATATATAGAGACTATAACACTGTTAATGTTAATATAAATACATTATAACACTATTAATGTTAATATAAATACATTATAACACTATTAATGTTAATATAAATACATTATAACACTGTTAATGTTAATATAAATACATTATAACACTATTAATGTTAATATAAATACATTATAACACTGTTAATGTTAATATAAATACATTATAACACTATTAATGTTAATATAAATACATTATAACACTGTTAATGTTAATATAAATACATTATAACACTGTTAATGTTAATATAAATACATTATAACACTGTTAATGTTAATATAAATATACTATAACACTGTTAATGTTAATATAAATACATTATAACACTGTTAATGTTAATATAAATACATTATAACACTGTTAATGTTAATATAAATACATTATAACACTGTTAATGTTAATATAAATACATTATAACACTGTTAATGTTAATATAAATACATTATAACACTGTTAATGTTAATATAAATACATTATAACACTGTTAATGTTAATATAAATACATTATAACACTGTTAATGTTAATATAAATACATTATAACACTGTTAATGTTAATATAAATACATTATAACACTATTAATGTTAATATAAATACATTATAACACTATTAATGTTAATATAAATACATTATAACACTGTTAATGTTAATATAAATACATTATAACACTATTAATGTTAATATAAATACATTATAACACTATTAATGTTAATATAAATGCATTATAACACTGTTAATGTTAATATAAAGACATTATAACACTATTAATGTTAATATAAATACATTATAACACTATTAATGTTAATATAAAGAGATTAAATACACTATAACACTGTTAATGTTAATATAAATACATTATAACACTGTTAATGTTAATATAAATACATTATAACACTGTTAATGTTAATATAAATACATTATAACGCTGTTAATGTTAATATAAATACATTATAACACTGTTAATGTTAATATAAAGACATTATAACACTGTTAATGTTAATATAAATACATTATAACACTATTAATGTTAATATAAATACATTATAACACTGTTAATGTTAATATAAATACATTATAACACTGTTAATGTTAATATAAATACATTATAACACTATTAATGTTAATATAAATACATTATAACACTGTTAATGTTAATATAAATACATTATAACACTATTAATGTTAATATAAATACATTATAACACTGTTAATGTTAATATAAATACATTATAACACTGTTAATGTTAATATAAATACATTATAACACTATTAATGTTAATATAAATACATTATAACACTGTTAATGTTAATATAAAGAGATTAAATACAGTAACATTATAGCAGCTGTTGATGGGTCTCAGGTAAACCTGGATTATGTAGCTCAAGGTTTACCTGGAGCTGTTGCCGTAGCAACAACTTGGGCCTCGTGCAGGAAGTAACTTATTTTGTTAGAACTTATTGATTTCCTCCTGGTTGCTGCTTTTATTGTTTACTGATTTATTTGTCAATGTGTGTGTGTGTGTGTGTCTGTGTGTGTGTGTGTGTGTGTGTGTGTGTGTGTCTGTGTGTCTGTGTGTGTGTGTGTGTGTGTGTGTGTGCGTGTGTGTGCGTGTGTGTCTGTGTGTGTCTGTGTGTGTCTGTGTGTGTGTGTGTGTGCGTGTGTGTGCGTGTGTGTGCGTGTGCGTGCGTGTGCGTGTGTGTGCGTCTGTGTGCGTCTGTGTGTGTGTGTGTGTGTCTGTGTGTGTGCGTGTGTGTGCGTGTGTCTGTGTGTGTCTGTGTGTGTGTGTGTGTGCGTGTGTGTGCGTGTCTGTGTGTGTCTGTGTGTGTGTGTGTGTGCGTGTGTGTGTGTCTGTGTGTGTGTCTGTGTGTGTGTGCGTGTGTGTGTGTGCGGTCTGTGTCTGTGTCTGTGTGTGTGTGCGTGTGTGTGTGTGCGGTCTGTGTCTGTGTCTGTGTGTGTGTGCGTGTGTGTGTCTGTGTGTGTCTGTGTGTGTGTGCGTGTGCGTGTGTGCGTGTGCGTGTCTGCGATCAGTGAGGAAGAGTTCGACCCGTCGCCATGGAGTCAGAGCTGCTGATTGGATGGCAGCAGGAGAAGGCAGAGCTTAAACAGGAAGTGTCCCGTCTGCAGGAGGAGCTGGCAGACAGTCGGGCAGAGAGGGAGGAGCTGGAGTCCAGGAGCAGAGCTCTCAGTGACCGGGTGAGGGGGGGAGGAGGGTGAGGAGGAGGAGGTGGTGATCATCAGGGTAAATCAAACCATTAAATCTCTCTCTCTCTCTCTCTCTCTCTCTCTGTCTCTCTCTCGCTCTCTGTCTGTCTCTCTCTCGCTCTCTGTCTGTCTCTCTCTCTCTCTCTCTCTCTCTAGCTGTACCAGTCAGTGTCTCCCTCGCTTGCCCTCTCTCTGCGGGTGGAGGGGGAGCAGAGAGAGTGGAGGAGGAAGATGAGGGAGGGGAGAGAGAGAGAGGCCAGACAGGCTCTGCTCATCCACCGACTGCAGAACAAGGTGAGCTACAGTACAGACAGTGAGTTACAGTACTGACAGTGAGCTACAGTACTGACAGTGAGTT